GCCAGGAGCTTCATACCCTCTTACTCCCTCACTTAGCACCTGAAGACCTGGAAATTCCCAGAAGCCACATAGCTGTGGATTCTGCTGTGGCTGATAAAGACTTCTTTTAAATGAGTCATTTCCTTCGAAAGGGAGGGGAAAAAATGTGTTTAGATTTCAGCAGAAATGCCCTTCCCCACCATACCCACACACCCATACTTAACCCTGATCTTGCTCAAGACTCTGAACCCTGGGCCATGGAGCATCGGTTGCTGGAGAACCTCCCAGCCAGCCTCTGTGGCACAGCACCCAAGGTCACAACTGACCCCAGGGAAAGGAACCAGGGCCAGGCCCATTTACTCAGAAAGGCTGGGCCTCCTTCTTCAATCACAGTGACAGGAGCAGACTTGTCTCCTCAGAAGCTGGCCATCCATCTATCTAGTTGTCTTCACTTAACCGGGTGGGGCCTGCCTTTCTGTCTTGTTCTGCCTGTCTTCTTTCCCACCCAGTTTCTCTCTCTTCTCTGCCTATGTCTATCTCATAGGTGTGTAGTGGTATCTCACAGTGCTTTTCATTTGCATTTCTCTGGTAATTACTGATGTTGAGCATATTTTCAGGTGTTTATTGACCACTCAATATGTCATCTTCTGTGGTCTCTGTTGCCCATTTTTATTGGGTTGTCTTGCCATGAATGTATTGTGAGAGTTTCTCCAAACCGTATTTATCTCCCCCTTTCTCTTTTCATTCTTTTTTCCTATCTCTCCAATCATTCATTCGTTCGTTTTTCCTTTGCCTTATTGATTGAGCCTCTGATCCATGGGTTCCCATTCTTGGATTCTCTCCTATTCAGGTGGCTCCCTACCATGACGGTTACTTACTAGCTGCTCTCTATGAAGCTGGGAAATTCCCATCCCCTTCCCTGACTAATTCCAGAGCTCGAGCTGAGTCAAGCTAAGGCCCCTTGGATGTTTCCTGTGGCCTTAACCAGATAATATAGTCATGTTTTTAACAGTTATTGAGGTTTAATTATATACAATAATGTTTAAGCATTTAAAGTATACAGTTCAATAACTTTTGGTAAACATATACAGCATGTGATCACTACCAACATCAAGATATCAAATATTTGCATCATCTCAAAAAGCTCTCTTGTGCCCCTTTGCCATTGATCCTCTCTCCCCACCCAGGCTCTTGGCGACCCTTAATCTGTTTTCTGTGATATAGTTATGGCTTCTTAAAATCTTATCTAATTGGCATTATATAGTATATAATCTTCAGCATCCTGCATCTTTTAGGGCACTGTTGAGATTCATCCTGCTGTTGCTGTACCACTGAGGAGTACACCACTGTGGTTATACCACAATGTGCCTATTGATTCACCAGTTGATGGGCATTTGGGGTGTTTCTCGTTTTTGGTTAAAATGAATGAAGTTGCTCTGAACATTAATGTACAAGTCCTTGCATGGACATGTTTTCATTCCTCTTAAGTAAACATTTGTGAGTTCAATTGCTGAGTAGTATGGAAAGTGTAGGATTAACTCTATAGAAAATGGCCAATCTGTTTTCCAACATAGCCTGTACCATTTTGCATTCCCATTAGAAGGATGTGAGAGTTCTAGGTGCTCCACATCCTCACCAACACTTGGTATGGTTGGTCTTTTTAATTTTAGCCATTTTCATAGGTGTGTAGCAGTATCTTCTAGTGCTTTTAATTTGCATTTCCCTGGAAATTACTGATATGAGCATATTTTCATGTGTTTATTAGCCACTCAATATATCATCTTCTGTGGTATCTGTTGCCCACTTTTATTGGGTTGTTTGTCTTCTTATGAATGTATTGTGAGAGTTTCTCCAAACTGTTTTTACTTCCTTCTTTCCTCCTTCCTTCCTCCCTCTGTTCCTCTGGATCTGTCATTCTCCCATGGTATCTCCATCCCAGTTTTACCCTATGCCATTCACAGGGTCTTCCACTGTCTCCCCCTCTCCCCCCTTCTTTATGCTTCCTTCCTCTTCCTTCTCATGTCATCCCTTCTCTTCTCTTCTCTTCCAGGATACTTTAAAACCTAAGACTCTCACATCCTTTCCCATTCCATATTAGAAATAACTCTATCACAAGCCCACAGATTACTTTCCTGGCCAGGCTCACTGTTCCAAATAGGGGAAAGACGCCCTCCCCCAGTAAAGGCCCAGAGAAGTAAAAAGACACACCCTGGTGTAATGAAAAGATGGCTTTGCATTCTGGCATCTTCCCCCTCCCTAAAGGATGAACGGTGTTTGTGGATAGCAGTTCCTTTACTCAGACATAATATTGGAAATCCAGGAGTGTTAAGTGAAGTCCATCCTGCTTAATCAGTGCTCCAACAGTCTCCAGATACATAAGCCCTGTAGGAGTTTAACTTCCCCAGTCACAGACAAGGAGCAGCCTAGCCCAAAGCCAGCTCCTTGTCATGTCTGTTTGAAGGAACAGGTGGGACAATTACAAACTCAGAACACTTTATTGCAGTGCTAAAAGTACCTCAGGTGGGTGATTGTGGAATGGTTTCTTTCTTCTTAATGCTTTATTATTGAGATATAATTCACTTGCCATACAATTCATCCATTTAAGGTATACAACTCAGTGGTTTTTAGTATTTTCACAGATGTGTACCCATTACCACTACAATTTTAGAATATTCTATTACTTCAAAAAGAAACCTTGTACCCTTTAGCTATCACCTCATATTCCCCATCATCCCAACCCTTGGAAATGATCATCTATTTTCTGTCTCTGTAAATTGACTTATTCTGGACATTTCATATAAATGGAATCAAATAATATGTGGTCTTTTGTGTCTGGCTTCTTTCACTTAATATAATGTTTTCAAGGTTTACCCATGTTCTCTTATGTATCAATACTCCATTCATGTTATGGCTGAACAATATTTCATTGTCTGGTTATACCAAATTTTGTTTATCCACTCATCAATGAATAGACATTTGGGTTGTTTCCTTCTTCTGGCTATTATGAATAATACTGCTGAAATATTTGCCTATAAGTTTTTGTGTGGACATATGTTTTCATTTATTTTGAGTATATACTAGAAATGGATTTACTGGATCATATGGTAATCCTATGTTTAAACATTTTAGGAATTGCCAGACTGTTCTGCAAAGAGGCTGTACCATTTCAAATTCCAACCAGCAATGTGTGAGGGTTTCCATTTTTATACCTCTTCACCAACACTTATTATTTGACTAAAGTGGTTTTTTGATTCTACAACTCAATCTTTGGACTGACTGTCACAAATACATACATGACCACACATACATTTACACAATCATTGACACAGACACACGTATAACATTACATGGTGTGCATACCTGTACACTCCTCTAGAGTTCACATACACACATGCAGAATCTCATATAGATATTTACAATCCATCATACAATTGAATCTGCAATCTTATGCAGCACATGCAGCATACAAACATCAATCCATAACCCATATGTGTGAACAAAACCAGATTTACAATGGACCAAAGCCATCACACATGTATATTAAATTGTCATGGGCTTTGAACAAACATACACGTTTGCTCAAAACAGAGGGACATAAGTATTTAATAATGCACTCACACCTACATAAACACAAATACATAAACAACAGTTGTACCCACAAAGGCATGGTCCTAAAAAAGGCATCGCTTATCAGTAGATGGTCTAGAGTTACCATCACTTATCAGTAGATGACTGAAAACAGACTGAATATATTTACTCTGAATGGCATGGAGAAGATTTCATTATCCTTGGTGTACTAGGTAGGAAGACCTTTTCATTCATTCATTCACTCATTCATTTGTTCTTTAAACTACAAGTACATATTGAGCACACAGAAATACAATAATGAACCAGACTGGCATAGTCCCTGCCCTTATGGAATTTACAGTCTAGCAAGGAAACTCTCATAATCTGTAATCTGTGCTCAGAAGGAAATAAGCAAGGCAATATGTTTGCCAAAGCCCTAGGATAGTAGGTAGTTTCCAGGAACTTTATCACACTCTTTCACCCATGTTGGGGTACAGTGGCACAATCATGGCTCACTGTAGCCTCGACCGCCCAGGCTGAAGCGAACCTCCCATCTCAGCCTCCTGAGTAGCTGAGATGACAGGTACCTGCAATCACACCCAGCTAATATTTTTTAAAGAGATGGAGTCTCACTATGTCTCCCAGGCTGGTTTAGAACTTCTGGGCTGAAGTGATCCTCCCATCTCCGGCCCCCAAAGTGCCAGGTTTAAAGGCATGAGCCACTGAGCCCAGCCTTCCAGGAGCTTTAATTATTGTTTCCTCTTTTATCCTGGAAAAGTGAAAATGATCCAAATTCATCTTCTATAAGTCATCGGATAGGCTGGGGTGTGTGTGTGTGTGTGTGTGTGTGTGTGTGTGTGTGTGAATTTAGCAATAGTCAATATTAAGAGTATGGGCTCAAAACCTGGACTACCTGATTTTAGATTTTCTTTCATACTAATTGTGTGACCTTTCTTTCCCTCTTTTTCTCAGTTTCTCATCTAAATATGGGGATTATAACAGTTCCTTTAATAAGGATTAACTTAGCTGATGTTTATAAAGCACTTAAAACTGCCTCGCAAGTGCTCACCTCTGAATCAACATTAGCCACCATTTCATTTTCCAAGAGCAGATTTTCATAGAGGGAGATGGGTGGGGTGGGGAGAGGGACAGGAGAAGGAGCCTGGCAGTGCCCTGTGGACTGTAAATTGGAGGGCTCTTCATCTTCCACCTTATCTGAGCAGTCTTCTGGAATGCAGTCCTGGCATGCCACCCCAGCAGGCCATAAACCAGCTCCTCCCCACTTCCCTGTTCCCACAGCCACAAACCACAGAAAGGATGGATGCACAATGGGTGGCACTGGGCATGGCTCTTGGTTTTCAGCTGTGTGGGGCCCCTGCATAGCTTCACTGTTTGCTGTGGGCCTGGGCTGTGACATTCACTGGTCTGCGTGGCCATCTTTTCTGTCTGTGCAGGTCAGCACTTATCACCCCGCACCTGCCTCTCCAGGACATTCCACAGCTGTGGTCAGTCTGCCTGGCTCCCAGCAACACCTCTCAGCGAACATGTGAGTAAAAGGCTCATCCCTTCGCCCCAGTCCTGGCACAGAGGGGTCATCTCTACAAAGTACAGTGGTGATTGAGCATCACCATTCCCAAACCATCCCATCCAAAGAGACAACAGGTCGCCTTTCTTTACCACTTCCAAGTGAAAAACACAAATTAGGGCTAGGTGCAGTGGCTCACATCTGTAATCCCAGCACTACAGTAAGCTGAGGCAGGAGGATTGCTTGAACCCAGAAGTTTCAGACCTGCCTGAGCAACATAGTGAGAACCCCATCTCTACCAAAAAAAATTTAAAAATGAGCCAGGAATGGCTGTGCACATGTTTTCCTAGCTACTGAAGAGGCTGAGGCAGGAGGGTGGCTTGAGCCCGGGAGTTTGAGGCTTTGGTGACCTATGATCATCCCACTGTACTCCAGCCTAGGCCACAGAGTAAGACCCTATCTCAAAAAAAAAAAAAAAAGATCACACAAATTAACAAACCACAGCACTCTTAGCTCATTATTTTACAAAAGTAGAAAGAGACTGGAAGATTACAGACCACAACATCACTGGGAGATGGGGTACTGAGCAATTTCTATTGTCTTGCTTTAGATTCAAAATGTTGGATCATAAATAGATGTTGTTTTAGTAATCAGCAAAAAATAAATATAGCATTTTAGAAAGAAAAAGAAAAAAGCCATGTAGAGAACACTCCCCTCTTCCCTTTGATAAAACACTCCAGTGTCTCACAGTCCTTGGAGTCTGGAAGGGCTTCCTGAGGTCTGAGATGCCTGGGGGCCACATGCTGGTGAACCCTGAATCTGGCAAACCAATGGGTTGTTTCCTGAATGCCTTTGGTCAGGCAGCTATTCTCACCTCCACAGCCTCATCAGTCCTGATGGTCTCCACCCCTCTGACTCAGACCTGGATATTACCTGCCTGATTCCTGTGTGGACTTCAGGGAGCAACTCTGCTCTAAGTTGAGGACTTTCTGCTATGTCACAGGCCCATTTCCCAGTCCCACCATGCAGCCAGGATTCTACTGGGTGCCAAAAGCAAAATTTCCCCCCTGCCTCCCACTTCCCAACGTCTACTTCTCTGCCTACGTTAAGCTAACTCTTTAGGACACTCCCAGGAGTCAAACACGGCCCTGCTTTCTGGATCAGAGAGGCTTCTATGCTGACCTCTTATTCCCCTGAACTTTGCTGGCTGCCACCATTTTCTTGAGGACACAATAAGCACTAGTGAAAAAGCATGGTAGGTAGAGTAGCACCTTCTGGGTTTGAGGCTCATCCCTGACACTAATTCCTGTCGCCAACTTCTTTCCTTGTTCAAGGCCTGTTTCCCCAGGGTTAAAGTGCCAAGGTTGGCCTAAATTAGTGATTTGCTGCTGTGCATGGAGGATGATGGGAGATGAAGAAGACAGGGACCTGGCCTCCTCCACCACTATTTCAACCAAGGGTTGCATGTTTATCTGCCTTACATGTCCAGGTTTCTGTGTTAAGAAGGTTCTTTATTGTTTTTGTTTTTGTTCTTTGGGGTGGGGGAGGGTCTTTATTTGCTTTGCTTTTTGAAACAGAGTCTTACTCTGTCACCTATGCTGGAGTGCAGTGGTGCAATCCTGGCTCACTGTGACTGCCACCTCCTAGGTTCAAGCAATTCTCCTGCCTCAGCCTCCTGAGTAGTTGGGATTACAGACACCCACCACCACACCTGGCTAATTTTTTATATTTTTAGTAGAGATTGGGTATCACCATGTTGGCCAGGCTGGTCTTGAACTCCTAACCACAGGTGATCCTCCCACTCAGCCTCCCAAAGTGCTGGGATTACAGGCATGAGCCACTGTGCCCACTCAGCCAAGAAGGTTCTCACCGCTAACCACTGGGTGGTCTCTATCCACCACTGGCCAGCTCCATGCGCCCCATCAGGCACATCTTCCTTCCTCTCTCACCAGTTCCCTGTGTCTTCCCAGGTTTGTAGCCCTGCACTCCTACTCAGCCCATGGACCCGATGAGCTGGACCTGCAAAGGGGAGAAGGCATCAGGGTCCTGGGGAAGTGCCAGGACGGCTGGCTCAGGGGCGTCTCCTTGGTCACCGGGAGAGTTGGCATCTTCCCAAACAATTACGTCATCCCTATTTTCAGGTGCGTCACCTTTAATCCCAAATTTTGGGAGGTCAGGCCGCCCTAGCCCCGGGGCTGTCTGTAGGTTGAACGATGGAGGACCCAATGCTTTTGCAGAAAACAGGCCAAGAAAGAGCTTTTCGCTGTATTACCTGCCTATCTCTTTTAAAACAAAATAGCAAAACTAGTTATCTTTTTTGTAGCTCTTCACAGCTTACAAGCACTTTTGTATCTCTTAGCTCACTGGCTACGCCCAAGAATCCTGTAAGATAGATATTATTTTACAGATGAAAATGGTGTGCAGATTTAAGCAACTTGCTCAAGAACTGGATGTCGGGTTTTTCTTCTGCATAAATCCCAGGAACCCCACTTCACATCCTCTATCCCAGTGCTCCATCTAGTGGCATGAGGGGAAAATGTGGTCAGATGACCTCTCCAGAGCACCTTGGGAAACAGGCTGCTCCACCGACCCCTTATCAGTTTCCATGAACTCAGACCCCTACCTTTTCCTCCACACCCAAGATGAAATGCTAGCCACCCTGCGGGGCCTCCACCCTTAGAGGCTTTCCCGATCTTTTACGTTGCGTGGCATACTATTCATGCTGTTGACCCCCTCTTTGTCTTGCCACCTCATACCACTGCCACAAATGCACCCAGACCCCAAAACTATCCATGACTCCCCCTGCCTCCACCCCCCATCAGCCCAAGCAAAGCTTGTCTCAAGGCAGTGAGGCTAACACCACACCTCAAGCACTGTCTTTATGACATATCAGAGGGTCACAATCACTGGTAAAGAGCCCCATTGTGCTCTGTAGGGAGTCACACCTAGTCCACTTTTACGGACCTTCATTTAAGCAAGGTACTGCGGCTGGAGGAGGGCAGCAGGAATGGTGAGGAGACAGCAAACTACATCATGGGCGAAACCGATAAAGGAACTGGGCTTATTTCACCTAAAGAAGACAAGAGGCAGAGGGATCATCATATACTATGTAAATAGTGCAGTAAATTTGTTCTGAGAGAGGCCAGTGGACTGAACCAGTGTAAGCAACTGGTCTTGGTTCAGCAAACCAAGACATTCAAGAACATCTTGGTTCAATAAAAGGCAGCATTTTCTGGCCCATAGATTTTTCCAACCAGGCTAGCTGATGGGTGGTGAACTCTCTTTGTAGAAAGAGTGCACGTGAAATTAGTCAGAGTCCCCATAGATCTAGGGTTGTATAAAAAGATTTCTTCACATGGCAGAAAGTCGGGGTAAAAGATCATAGTTATTCCTTTCAAAGGAAAGTTCTTGAAATTTGTTACAAATCTGTAAAATATCCAAGGACAAACTGAAGTCTAAAACTGATGTTTTAATTCATTTCTTTGGCAAATATTGAGTGCAAACTATACATCAGGAACTTTTCCAGGCACTAGAGAAATACCAGTTAACAAAATAAACAAAATTCCTGCTTGCAGGAGCTTACGTTCTAGTGGGAGAGACACATTTTTTAAACACCAAGATATTTAAGTGATCCATATGATGTGTTAATGATACTGGCTAACAAGGAAAATCAGGAAAGGAGGATAGAATTTTGGGAAGTGGTTACAATTTTAGATAGATTGATCAGGGATGGCTTTGCTGAGAAGTAAGAAGGAAGGCAGGAGGCAAGCCTTGTGGACCTCTGAGAGAAGTATCCAGGCTAAAGAAACAGCAAGTACAAAAAAAGTACTGTAGTAGGCTAGGTGCAGTGACTCATACCTGTACTCCTAGCACTTGGGAGGCCAAGGCAGGTGGATCACCTGAGGTCAGAAGTTCGAGACCAGCCCGGCCAACATGGTGAAATCTCATCTCTAATAAAAATACAAAATTTAGCCAGGCCTGGTGGTATGCACCTGTAATCCCAGCTACTTAGGAGGTTGAAGCAGGAGAATCGGGTGAGGGTGGAGGTTACAGTGAGCTGAGATCGCACCACTTCACGCCAGCCTGGGAAAAAGAGCGAGACTCCATCTCCAAAAAAAAAAAAGGCCCTGCTGTAGTAGGAGTGTGCCCGACATGAAGCCAACAGAATTGGATTCGAACAAGCGAGGGGAGATTAGGAAGGAGGTCAGAATGGTAATGGGTAGCTAGATCATAAAGAAATTCCTAGGTCATAATGAAGGGATTGGCTTTAAGCCTATGGCTGGGTTTCGAGCAGAGATGTAATCTTAATTGTGTTTAACCAGAATCCCTCTAGTTGCTGGGTTGAGAATAAATTATACAAAGGAAAAGGTAGAAGCAGATAAACTAGCTAAGAAGACAATCATAATCCTGGGGAGAGTTGATGGTGCATTGAACCAAGGTGTTAGCTGTGGAAGTAGGGAGAAGTGGTTAGATTCTGAATACACCTTAGACAACAAGGTTTTCTAACAGATAAAACATCATGTGGAAGAATAGAGGATTCAAGGTGAGACCGAGTTTTTCTCCCTGAGTAACTGATAGAGTCGCCTTTAAATGAGACAGCAACTGCTCCATCAGAGGAGCATGTTTGGGGTATGGAGGGAATTAAAGCTTAGTTCACAGCAGGCTAAGCCTGGGATGCCTCTTAATAATCCAAGTAAAGATGTTGGTAAGCAGTTGAATATGCAAGTTGAGCACTGAAGGGAGAGCTCCAGGCTTGAGATGCTATTTAAAGCCCTGAGACGAGATGAGATCATCATGGTGGGATGAGTTGTATCCAGAGAGTGAAGCTGACGTCTTCAAAGAGTAAGGGGAGAGACTTGGAGAGCAACTGCTGACTGCAGGAAGGTGGAGTGGTGGGCAGTCAAGCCTGATAATATGAGTCAAAGCTGGGAGTATTGAGGAGGGTGGGAAATGGCCTAGAACTGACAGTGAGGAGCAAGGAGGATGCCTATCCTAATTTATGAACAGTTTCTTCCATGGCTTTAACATGAATTCCCCAAGACCCATCCCTGTGACTAGGGCATTTGCTTATGCATCAGGCCTTAGCCCCAAATCCTGGTTATACCGTCGAAGACCCAGTAGAATCAGACTAACATATACTTAATCATCCACATTCGGACACTTTTGAGCAGGTATCAACTGAAACTCTCCTGGGAAAATCAGGCTGTGTGGTCATCCTAAGTAGAGTGTGCTTAGAATTTCATCCCAGTGTATTTTGAGGATCCAGTTTTCATTCCTCTCGTTGGCTTTCCTCAAGATAGGTCTATTGTGTTCTTGGGAAAGTCATGAGCATCTCTGCTCACTCCTGAGATGCCTACGTGTCAGACAATGGATGGAGTTTCAGTACAATAAGTCGCCATTGAGTTCTCCCCTCACTCCCAGTTCAAGGAAATCTGAACAGATGCAAATATGGAGGTGCTACTAACATTGAGGCATGGTTTTGTTTGTGGGGAACCAGCATTCTCAAAAAAAACAAGTCCCTATTAGAGGATATGCTCCTGAGGGTTATGAGGTGACAGAAGATCAATGCTTTCACCATGTTTATACTTTTTCTTTAATAATCTCTCTGACACACACACACACACACAAAAAAGCTCCCATCCCCACTAATCTCGGACATGAATGATATATACCCAGTCTGTCTATCTGTGCAGGTAATTCTTGTTCTTAACCACTCTTTCCTTGGTGGGAAGTTTATTTCTTCCCATGTCTCAGGGATTAATAATACTATCCTTTGTCAGCTGAGTTTCTACTATTAGCAAGTTTTGTGTAAGAACTGAGTGGATTGGGCTACATGTGCAAGGCCCCTTTCTGCTCTTTGATTCTCTGTGTTTGGGTCCTTTTCCTCCTAGCCTTTGCCTTCTGTTTGTAGTGATGGCTGTGCACTGCCATCCAGCCCCTTTGGCGTACACGGCAGCCTTTTATGAAATAGCCAGGGCCCAAAGGTGTGCACATTCGAACCTTTGCTATCGTTAACATCATCCCCTAATGAACTGAGCTAGCCAGAATTTGGGAATAAACTAGAGATTATAATTAACTAGATTGCTAGGATTTCAATTTAAGATTCAGCAAGTGAGCCTTTCAGTTACCAGAAGAGGAAAAGGCTGCTGTGCTATTCTGTGGTCCAGCCCTCTGTGCTAGATGGTGCCATCAACCTGTCCAGCTGTCATTGACCACAACCAAATCTCTGCTGCCATGATGCCTTCTTCCAGATCCTGGAGACCTTCATCGGCCGAGGTCATACAGAACATTTGTCAAGTTTTCATCTGTCCAGCATCTAAATCCCTCTTTAATAGCAGCAACATCCCTTTGGGTCCCCTCTGTTGTATGTAGTCTTGGTGGAAGGCAGAAGTTTCCTTTCTTTTCAGAGGTTAAAGAAATGCAATCCACCTCCTCCTCAACTCATCACCACAGCTAAGAGTCAGGCTCAGCCAATATGATACTCCCTCTTGGGACTTTTGGACAGAGGTAAATAGGATAAAGCTCTGATGGAATAAGGCTGGTGTGGGCCTGATTAGCTGTATTCTGCCCTTGCTGCTGCTGCTGCTGCTGCTGCTGCTGCTGCTGGGAAAAATTTTGGAACTTGTCTTTCCTGTTGCTAATCCACTTTGCAACATCCAACACCTTGAGACTTCTGCTCAAAAGCTAGAAATTTGAACAAGGGAGGAAAAGATGTAGGCAAAGTTGAGACCACTCATGATGAGACAGCCACAGCATATGATTGGCCTCTTGTTGCTGCTGAGCTCCCTGTAGCCTCCTTGGGTCTTGTTTCCAAGTCCTCTACTTCCTGTCCTCCCAGTAAATTCCCTTCTGCTCAATTAGCCAGGATATTCCTCCTTCTTGCAACTTTCACAGACATATATGCGCACTTAGTGCCTTATGGGTGGAGAAAAGTGATCAATTGGCCACTACTCATTTGCCTCTAACTCTACACAGAGTATACAAAAACTGTCAATATCCAACTGCTCTCCTTACTGGGAGGCTGCTGCCAGTGGCAAATACAGTAGAGCTACCATTTGTGATGCCTTTTTTGCATATTGGGCCAGCTCTTAAGGGCTAACATCCCAGATAAAGAAAAGAACACGGGAACCTGCACAGTGGAGCAAATCAGAGGCAACATCCACTCTTCCCACCTAAGCCCAGAATGTCCTTCAGTCTCCCCATCTGGAAAACAAGGATCATAATGTCTTTAGGGTAGGTCTGGGGGTATGATGGGGATTAATTAATATTTGATAGCCAACTGCTTTGACATTGGAAGACAGTGGTAAGTAAGCGCTGAGCTTTTTGCTGAAAGATATAGAGGGACTCAGTGTGTTGGATGGGGCACTTGGGATTGAGGAGTTCTTGGAACCCAGCTCAGTGCTGAGCTCAGAAAAATGAGGTCACACCTTGGTCTATAAACAGTCATTCAAAGAAGGGACTGATGGAATAAGGCTGGTATAGGCCAAATTAGCTGTATTTTGCCTTTGCTGCTACTACTGCTGGGAAAATTTTTGGAACTTGTCTTTCCTGTTGCCAATCCACTTTGCAACATCCAATACCTTGAGGCCTCTGTTCAAAAGATAGGCAGATCGGCTGCACCCTGCCATGGAAGCCAGGTCGGGGATTTCTCCCCACTGCCCACGTCTTGTCCCCAGAATATGGTCTGACTCCTCTCTAATGAATGGACTTATTCATTTTCACTGACTACACCACCATGGAGACCAGGGACAGGTTGACCGCCATGTAAGTCCCCTTGCTGCGAGCATCAATTCCTAGAGCATTTGGTTGAATATACTTCTCAGGCAGCGTTGACCACAATTAAACAATGCCTTACTTATCTTCATACAACAATGGCTTGTTGTTAAACTGTATATTACTTTGTCAATCAAAAGAAGGGGAGACAAAGGGAAAGAGGAGAAATGAGGGTAAATGACCTAAAGGAAAACTTGGAGGCATTGGTAAGAAGGAAACCACATGGCATCTCTGTGCCGGGGTCTTAGTTGAGTTGGTTATTCCCAGGAAATTAGCAGAGGTTACTTAATCAACAGGGTGACAAGGTGATTAATGGACTGCTCAATAGGAGATGTGATGTTGGGAATGGATTGGTAAAAGGTCAAGAAAAGCATATAAAATGACAGTCAGTCCCCATGGAGTTCAGGGAGCTGCCAGCTGGAAACAGTGGATAAGGGATTGTTGTTTCATAAAACTTTAATGCAATGCTTGAAAATCATAGCCCAAGGCTGAAGAATTAGAGTCTTATGGAGGCATGTGTAGGGCCTACCAGCTACTTTAGTTCATTTATTTCAGGCAGAATAAAGGACTTTTCCTGCTACCAAATGATAAATACTCCAACTAGTCAGGAGGTACAGCTCACTGGTAAGAACAGAGAGCCCTCTTAGACCTGGGTTCAACTAGTTGCTTGAGCAAGCAACTGTTAAGTCTTTGTGTTTTTTTATTTACAAAATAGTGGCACTAAGAGTACCTACCTCAGAAGGCCATTGTAGAGAACCCATGAGATAATATGGGCAAAGCACCTGGCCAGTGCTTGGCACGCAGCAAGCACTCTACATCATTAGCCAAAATGGCTGGTGTCAGCGCTGAAAGCAGCATGACAGCCACTGAACAAATGATCACTGGTCCGCAGTATATGCAGAAAACAGATGTAAGTCATATAAAATCTCTGCCTTCAAAGACTTTGAATTTGTGAAAAAGTCACTGATCGAACAAGAACTTGCCATCGCAAAATGAAATAAACACATACAGGATCTTGTGCTCTGAGCTTAAGGGCTAAAAAGATGTGGAGTGAGGAATGATCAGAACTGGAGTGAAAAAGGATGAAATTCAAGTCTTCTAGTTCCACCAAGGCCTTTATATGATCCACCCCCACCCCCCGCATTCCTTCCCTCAGCACACTGTCACAGTTAGAGGTGGGGCCACCTTTACTTAAGCCTAGAGTTGACTAAATGGGTGTGTATGGGTGGGAAGAAGGTGAGAAGTGGCCACATTTGGTATGTGGTTGGAAGCTGATAGGTTTTTAAATAGGACTCTTGACTGAACATTTTCTTTCTCTATTTCTTCTCTTTAAAAAAAAAAAATGTCCAAAACCAGAAAGACTTCTAGTTTTCCAGACTCCCGGAGCCCTGGTCTCTACACCACATGGACGTTATCCACCTCCTCTGTGTCCTCCCAAGGCAGCATTTCAGAAGGTGACCCCCGGCAAAGCCATCCCTTCAAATCCGTCTTTGTGCCCACTGCCATAGTCAACCCTGTGAGGAGCACAGCCAGCCCTGGGACTTTAGGACACGGGTCTCTTCGGAAAGGGCGAAGCAGCATGAGAAAGAGTAAGTGGTGGCAGAGAGGTACGTGCCTAGAGCTAAGTGATGGGGGATCTGACCCCGGGATACACAGGATGCTTTTTGCAAAATCAGGATCTTGGCTTTAAACCAAGCCCCTGCAAAGGGTATTGTACAATTCCCAAATGATGAGTTTTATTGAATGAAGTGTCATACCAACTCAAGGTCATGGCCTTAGGTTACTTCATACATACTTGCTGAATGATAGCGGTCATGGCAGCCCTGAGTGCCAATATGTAATTAGAACATGCCCAGAGTGGACACTGGCTCCTATTAAGACAGTTTGATGAGAGCATTTGCTGGATCAGCGCTTCTCAAACTGTACTCCAGGGAATCCTTCATGGGGCGCCACAGGAGAAACAGAAGGAAGGGGTGGGTGGGCAGGCTGTGGGAGTAGGAAATGAGGATTAAGAAGGCAGTGACCAGAGCCCCTAGTTCCCACTGTTATTTAAGTAATGAATGCATAGAACTTTCTTTTAAAGGTTTATTGTATACGAATTGTGCAAAAGCAAATCTCCCTCATATCCTTAACTGAGTCCCAAGTTCTCTTCCATAGATAGATAGATGGAAACACACACACACCTGTTAACCATACTCATAACTCATTGTTCTGTACCTTGCTTTATTTTTGCCATCACAACATCCAAATTTCACACATGGCAATGCATACAGATTCTTCATCTTAAGAGCCACACTGTTGTCTCTACACATAGTGAACTTCCACTCAAGACTTCCTTTTCAAACATTGTAAAAAGCGTTTGAAACCCAATTCTACAAAACATCAAGATTTTATTTCCTTATACCTCTGTAGAAGACGACAACTAGCCAAGCCCCATAAATATGATTTATTCTATGTTCTCTGAATTAAACTAAACTCTGTGATCTCTCTTACAATCTTAACAAATGAATTAATGAAAATGCAATATGAGTGGTCAAAGCAGAAGAATACTGTGTGGGACAATATACACCTTTTAAAGGAAAACTCCTCCGTTAAAAAGAAAGCACATATCTTACCTTCGCGGTCCCGTGCCTTTTTCATCTGACAGCCTGCCTGACCACCAGTCCCATGACTCTGGGCACTTCATTCCACTCAACCATGCCTCCCTCCACCACCTTCCTGTACTTCCCTCCACCGCTCCCCTCAACACACACACTGTAGGCAAACCCACCACAATAACCTTGAGCAAATGACTAATTTCTTCAGCCTTCAGTTCACTCTTCTGTAAAAGGGAAATAAAAATTCCTGCCTCGTCAGGGTTAACTTAATAAAACAACCCATATATGGCTGATAGCACAGTGCCTGGCACGTAATAATCTGTCAAGAAACATTTGCTTTTTATATAGTTTTTTTATTACTATCATTGCTACTACAATGAAATCATCTTTGGTTCATCCAGAGCATGAACTCACTTAGGGTTGAAATGTTCATACACAGCTGAATGTGTGTGGCTCACACCTGTAATCCTAGCACTTTGGGAGGCTGAGGTGGGAGGATCGCTTGAGCTCAGGAGTTCAAGACCAGCCTGGGCAATATAGCGAGACCTCATCTCTAAAAAAATTAAAGGAACAAGCTGAGCATGGTGATACATGCCTGTGGTCTTAGCTACTTTTGGGGCCGAGGTGGGAGGATGGCTTGAGCCGGGGAAGTTGAGACTGCAGTGAGCTACAGTCTCCAACTGAACTCCAGTCTAGCCTGTCTCAAGGAAATATATATATATATATATATATATATATTTGATTTGAAAAAAGAAAAAAACATTCACACTTAGGTATGCAGAGTTGCATCCCAAAAGCAATTGCTCACACTTTCCTTAATATACTCCCACTCCACCTTAGCAAAATCTTGATCGGCATGAAGCTTCGACTGCTTGCACTGTATGCACATGTAATAAGAAAGCATTAACTCTCCGGGAAATTAGGAATTGACAAGATAAATAGATAAGGCATCGGACCAATTTTTCACACATTTACAGGAGCCTAAGGACATGTCTGCCTGGTGCTTCTTTGACTTCCCAGGTCCCGGAGGCTTTCTCTTTCTGTCTTTTCCCAAGGTGAGGCTGGCAAGCTATCAGTCTCTCCAGAGCAAAGAGAAATGACGGGAGAATTGACCGTGTGAACCTCACAGGGCTGTCGGTAGAAAAATAAATGTCTAAATTGAAAGGTCACACTTGTGTAAATAGTGACTGGCTTGCTTGCAGCAGCTGAGGACACCGACTCTGTTAAGTGAGTGTCCTGCTTTTCATGTACACATCTGGTTTGATAGAGTCACGATGCAGCCTGGCCTTGGCTCAGGCCCTCTGTGCTGGACACAAATGACTTTGATTCAAACTCGAGTCTGTGGAGTGTCACAGAAGACTAGCAGCTCTGGCTGGGATAAAACCTGCAGCTCTCTAAATGCTCTAAACCCTTATGGAGAAAGGGGTATCTCTTCTACCTCCCCACAGAATGCAATGAACTCCTGATTCCCCAGGTCAGCTGCAGGACATATGTAGCTGAGGGCAGGAGATCTGCCTGCCAGAGAATTTCAGGGGAAGAAATGGCCTTTTACTGAGACAGTTCCATTTCAATTAAAAAAAAAAAAAAAATAGGAGAAGAAGAATGAGCTCAGGAAGTGACAAAACCAAACTCTTGGTTAAAGGATATGCTATCCTTTAACCAAAAATAAGGATAGCTTACAAACACGCAGCATTGATCATGGTCCAGGCACTATCCTAACTCTTAGCACACCTAATAGAATGCAATCCTCACAGCAGCCTGATGACATACTGTTATTATCTCCAGCTTACAAATGAGAAAACTGAGGTGCAGAGAGGTGATGTGACTTACTTATCCCAGGCTCCCCAGGAGGTCTGATTCCAGATCTTCTGTCATGAGACATTGCCAAGCCCATCCTCACAGCCCTCACTGTGGAATACCCTTTCCAAATTCGCCTCTGTCTGCTGTTGTGCTTGCCTAGCAGTCACAGTGATTTCCACTCACCCTTTCTCCCTGCAGGCCCCGACAAAAAGCGACCCCCCACCACATGCCTAAAGCTTCTGTTAGGATTTTCACAGCAAGTCGCTGGTCAGACTTTCCCTTTCTCTTTTCTTATTTTCCTCTCTCCCAGTCTTTTCAGTTGCCTCTCCTTTGTGTTTCTCAATCTCCTGTCTCTGATTCTGTCATTTGTTTCCTATTTGGTCTGCCTGCCTCTGTGTCTGCTTCGCGTGTGTGTGTGCGTGTGTGTGTGTGTGTGTGTGAGAGAGAGAGAGAGAGAGAGAGAGAGACCAAAGGCAAATGGAAGCAATATACCTTCTGCTGACAGCCCATCTACACACACACACACACACCATTCAGCCAGAGAGCTATTTGCTGCCAGCATCAGTAAACAGCACTAAAAAAAGAATAAAGTCACCTTTGAAAGACCCCAAGAGAATGTGAATGTAGTCAGATTAGGAAAGCACTTGTCTATTCTGGGATACCAGGATGCACTGCTTACCCAGCCCCACCCAACCTACTGCTAGCTGCCCCTGCTGCTAACCTCTCTGTCCTGTAATTCCCCAGATGGATCCCTGCAGAGACCCGTCCAGTCCGGGATCCCCACTCTCGTGGTAGGCTCCCTCAGACGCAGCCCCACCATGGTCGTTCGGCCTCAGCAGTTCCAATCCTACCAGCCACAGGGGGTCCCCTCCTCCCCCTCAGCCATGGTGGTGGAGATGGGGCCCAAGCATGCCCCCACGGGGGAGCCCGCCCTCACATGCATCAGCAGGGGCAGTGAGGCCCGGATCCACTCAGCAGCCAGCTCTCTCATCATGGAAGGCAAGGAAATCCCCGTCAAGAGTGAGTCTCTGCCAAAACCACCTGCGTCTGCCCCACCATCCATCCTGGTGAAACCAGAAAACTCAAGAAATGGCATCGAAAAGGTAGGATCAGAGTGACAGTGGGGGCCTGACTCTTTCGATCCTCCGCTTTGCACAGTGTCTCAGCTCTGAGATTTTAGTGTTGGTGGACAAGGAACCAAAATTGCAGCCTCAAAAGAATCCTCACACATAACACTCCTCCTCCCCAGCTCCCCACTGTGCTATGGCCAACATCCCTACATCATTCACACCCTCCCTACATGTGTTACTGAGTCTCCTTGATGTTTCCTGAATATTTTATACATCTTTTGAGGCCCCAAAGCGGCTTGTAACAAAGATGACTTTGGCATTAGACAAATCTTGTTTTGAATTCCAGCTCTGCTGCTTGCTAGCTGGGTGACTTTGGTCAAAATACTTCACCCTTCTGAAACACTTATTTTGCATAATCTGTAAAATGGAAGTAGAATAAGTAATGGCCACACAGTATTGAAGTGGAGAAAAATGAGATATGTGAAGTGCTTACGTAGGGTTTGACACATAATTATGCATTGTATAAAAGAGGCAACTGGCTGGGCGCAGTGGCTCACGCCATTTGGCCAGCACTTTGGGAGGCTGAGGAGGGCCAATCACCTGCGGTCAGGAGTTCAAGACCAACCTGACCAACGTGGAGAAGCCTGTCTCTACTAAAAATACAAAATTAGTCATGCGTTGTGGCGGGCGCCTGTAATCCCAGCTACTCAGGAGGCTGAGGCAGGAGAATCACTTGAACTCAGGAGGTGGAGATTGCAGTGAGCCGAGATCGCACCATTACACTCCAGTCTGGGCAACAAAAGTCTCAAAAAAAGAAAGAGGCAACTGAGACACAGGATAATGTAAGTTACATCGAGGTCACACTGAATGGTAATGACTCCAACTAACTTATTGTGACCTCCGTGGCAGAGGTCAGATCTGTTAACTTCTAGTCCAGGACTTTTCCCACTAAAAGACATAAGAGTTTTTGTAAAAGGCTTACGTTCTTGATAATATCTTTGAAGCAGAAGGGATGGTGGGAAGAGAAGACAGTAAGAAAGTTAGGTGATGCTTGTTGCTGTCTTTTAACTTATGGAACATCACCATCATCACATCATCGCCATCACTACCTCCATCACCACCGCCATCAGCGTCATTCTACCATCATCATCCATTCCCCTCAGAATGGAAAGAGGATGTAGTTCCCCCTGTTGGTTAAGCAGTTACTAAGTACTAACAAGCTGGCAGGCACTGTGCTCAGTACTTCATGTGCCTCCTCTATTTAATCCTGACAACAACCCTCTCAAATAGGCATTAGTTTCATCCTCATTTTAAAATTAGAAAATGGTAGCTCAGGGAGTTCAAGAAGATTACCCAGGACCACAGAGTTGACACATATATGTGGAGTAGAATCCAGATCTGATACAAACTCATGCTCTTAATACTAAGCTGTAAGCTCAGAGGGAAAGGCAATGGAAAAAGCATTGACAGATATAAATGTTGGGAGGTCTTATTCTGAATTAAAGAAAAAGTTCAAAGTTTTCTAGGCGCCAGTTGGCCATTACTCCAAGCTTTTAGATACAACCATAAGCATTTCATAAATGCCCAGATCTTGGCTAGATGTGATGAGGGTCAGAAAGTATGAGGAAACTCAGATCTTATTGGGGCACTAGGATTGAACTGCATGGAAAAAAAAGATATCATTCCTGAGCAGTGGCTAAGACAGAGACTGGCCAAAGCAAATGCTATACCTATAGGTACCTGACAGATACATAACAGGCAAGGAGAGGTGAAAGGAAGGAGGGAAAGGGGGAATTGGCATAAACTGGGGACCTTGTTTCTTATGTAAAGGGGGCCCTGCTTCTCAGGTCTGACCCGCTGTTGTCAGAATAAGGGATAGGTCCAGTGTGCCAGAACTTTAATTTTTTTTTTTGGGGGGGGGGCATATGAAATTCTGATTTTTATATGCAATCTCCCAATTTTTATGTGTTGGCAAGTCAATCAAACCCTCAAACGTTCTGCAGGCTAAATTCAGCCAGCAGGTGTCCAGTTTGCAAACTGCACTCTAAGGACTTATAAGGCCACATGGAAATCTCTATCGGGAGAGAGGCTTCAAACAAAAGGAAAGCCTTGAGATTAGCCTTAATAGTAGGTAGACAGAAGAGAGTCAAGGTAAATTTCTTTTGTCTTCCGGAAGAGATCGTACCCTCTTGCCTCAGGCTGTTTTCATAGGCAGTGGCCTGCCCTATTTCTCCCAGATAAGTCCTAATCCTTTTGTGGTTCTCAGTTTAATGCCTCTGGAAGACTTCCCTGGCTTCTCCACTTCCAGATGGAGTTAGAGGGTCCTCTGCACTCTCAGCATCTCGTACTTCCCCCATCATAGCACTTGACACTCATGGTAGGCACTGATATTTGCAGAGTAAACACATAAATGAGGCCTTTCAAGTGGGGATAAGCATAGGAAAACTGACATCTCCCACTCACCCATGTCCATTTCCTCTCCTTTCTCTTGCAGCAAGTCAAAACCGTGAGATTTCAGAACTACAGCCCTCCTCCCACCAAACATTATACCTCCCATCCCACCTCTGGAAAGCCTGAACAGCCAGTCACCCTCAAGGCATCCCAGCCTGAAGGAGCCTCCATGGGCCCAGAGATGACCGTCCTATTTGCCCACCGAAGTGGCTGCCACTCCGGACAACAGACAGACTTCCGGAGAAAGTCAGCTCCTGGCAAGGCCGCAACCCTGGTGCCCACTTCCTCAGCCATGCAGACCGTGTTTCCCAGCAAATGAACCTACGGGTGGCTTTTCCTAGACCCCAAAGAGGTGAATTGCATTTAAATACAATCTGCCTCCACTGAGGGTATCCTGCCATTCTTTGGGGACTTGAGCGTGGGTCCCTGTTCTTTCTATTTTACCTCCAGGAAAGGAAAGGTGGGAGCAGGAATTCCTGCCCTGGGTGGGAGGATAGACTGGGTGACCTTCCAAACATACAAACATAATGATTTGATGCCGCAGAGCTCGCTTACTCAGACCAAGGAGTGAAAAATTATTGTGCCCACTTCATGCCCCAGCATGGAGTGTGCCTCTTGTCATTCCCGTGTTCCTGTGTAGAATTTCTATGGTGTCCTAAAGGGGGCTGCAGCAGGTGTGTGACAATGGTGGGATTGTTGGCATTGCTTCTTTGACCTTGCAGTATCCTCAACAAGCATCAGAACAGCTTCTCCCATCATCTGGGGCCTCTACACTGGCCACTAGTAGCTGCCATATCATTTTCCCTCTGTAAAATCATGATCCTGGCTGCAAAGGAGAATTTCTGTGAGGAGTGTGAGGTGGATACTTTGAGCGTTTTCAGAACCCAATAAAACTAGGAGTCAGCTTCCTGAGTATCCTCCACTTAAGAAGGTCAGAAAGATCTCTGAGTACCAAATATCAAAAGATTACCACACTTTAAGCTTCTCGGTCTGTTTTTCCCACATGTAATCTTAGGTGATAGATAAGAAGAAAGCATATGGCTATGGATAGGGCCATGTATGGTATTATGGACAATTAATTCATCCTGGCTCTACAGTCAAACTTCTAGAAAACACAGCATGCTTACAAACAATCCTATATGGGGTTAGGGTTTAGACATATAGTCTGACTTCAAGAAAGCGCAACGTGGGCCAGGCATGGTGGCCCACACCTGTCATCCTAACACTTTGGGAAGCGGAGGCGGGCAGATCACTTGAGGTCAGGAGTCTGAGAGCAGCCTGGCCAACATGATGAAACCCCATCTCTACTAAAAACACAAAAATTAGCCAAGCGCGATGGCATGTGCCTGTAATACCACCTACTTGGGAGGCTGAGGCACAAGAATAGCTTGAACCTGGGAGGCGGAGGTTGCAGTGAGCTGAGATCGCACCACTGCGCACCAGCCAGGGCGACAGAGCGAGACTCTAAAAAAAGAAAAAAAGCACAACATGCTTAAAAACAACCTTATGTGGGGTGGGTTTAGCTATATATTTGGATATATATTGTCCTGACTTCCCCTGGTTTCTTCTCACTTGGGGCAAATGAGCTGTTTCACCCACAAGACAACAACATCATGGGAATATGGCAGCCTGAGGCTGGGGTGGGGGAGCTTCCTAGGGGAAAGCTGCTATAAAATGGGGAGAACAAAGAAAACTGGAGGAAAGAAGAGGGTAAAGGAGAAGGAGAAAGTAGGAGGGCAAAGAAAATATGGAGGAAAGAAGGTGGGTGTGAGAGTAAGAGTGAAAGAGGATTGAGAGAAGCCACGCAGAAGAGGCTAAAGGAGACAAGGGATGGTCAACCTTACATTCCCGACAGGCTGTGGGAAGAAGGACGGAGCCTGCGATGAAGAATGGGCACAGCTAGGTGACCCCACTAAGATGGAACTGACATGAGCAGGACCAGCCAGGCAGAGCCTTGTAATCAGGGTAGAGGAGGCATCCCAGGAAGCCAAGACAATGCTGTGAGACAACCATTAATTCTCATTAAACTTAATTGTTGTGATTTAACATTTATTGCATGCCCATCAATGTGAGCACTTTAACACATAAATAACATTTGCTGCTAAGGCTGGGTGCCATAAAAAACAAAAAGAAAGAAAAAGAAAAGGCAGGTCTACTTAGACCTTTCCCCTAGATAGTTCTTGAAGGTCCTGGGATTCAAAACACGTATCTTTTTACATATCCACTCACACACTTAGCAAATTGAATTGTCCACATTTTCCAGACCTTAATAAAACAAAACAAAACCATACTCCTCTCATAACATGCTGCCATTGTGTCAGACCTTAGGGGGCAGTAGAGCCAACATGATAGCACGTTGTTCTAGCAATCTCAATCACGTTTGGGTCCATATCTCACAAACTTTGGGTCAATATCTCACCTTTGTGGACCTAAACAAATATGAGATATTGACCCATTAGTTCCACAAAATCAACATGCCCAAATCCATGCCTCATGGAACTAAATATAATAATCCAATTGGAGAAATGAGATAAAGTCACAAGGACAGGGAGGCATTGTGTGATTTGTCAAAATGTAAATACCTATACCTCATCTTTACCCAAAAAGCACTCTCAATGGCTTTAGCAATGTTTAGCATCTGCTCTACACCCAGACTGGCAGAGATATGACATGACTGGCCGATCAAGTATTTAGTCTGTTCCTCAGTAGTGATGCATCCAGTTAATCTTTATGTTTTGTGGCGGATGAGCAGGGTGTTTAGATGTAGTGGAGATGTCCTTGCCTTCCAAATGAAATGGAATGTTCTTCCCACCGTCTATTATCTCTATGGGATAACCCCTCTGAGAGATGCAAACAACTCCAAGCCGTGCCACCTGCACTCCATCCAGCCTCTTCACCCATGCACAGCATCAAACTCACCCTCTCCCAAAGCAAATCCCATCTTTGTGGAGTTTTAAGAGGGCATGAAAGGGGCAGAGGATGTTATTTCCAAGTAAAAGTTGGCTTCACTAGCAGCTTTAACTTATTTAACATGCTTTGTAAATTTATTGTGATACTTTTTGTAGAGACAGAGTCTTGGTATGTTGTCCAGGCTGGACTCAAACTCCTGGGCTTGGTCTTTTCATGCCTTGGCCTCTCAAAGTGCTGAGATTACAGACGTGCGCCATCATTCCCAACCACAACATGTTCTTAACCTTTACTGTGTGCTAAGCACAGCAATGAAGATTATAACACATCCTCTCATGTAATTTCCACCATATCCCTATAAGGCAGGTAGATTGTCCCCATTTCAGAGCCAAAGAGACTGAAGCTTGAAGGCTAACCACAGACAAGGATGCAATTTCAAAGTATCTGACTTCAGAGCCCAACTTGGGATTTGCTGCATGAACCAAAAACCCATCCTTGACTCCCGGATGCTGATTCTGGACTGCCAGGAGGCAGCACAGGGCATTTTTGGTTGCAAACGCAAAAGAGCCCAGAAGGCTCTGCTGTGCACACAGTTCAGGTCTTCATTTGCCACTTTCTGGCCATGGGATGTCAGGCAAGTTACTTCATCTCTCAGAGCCTCATTTTCTTACATCGGAATAATACAGTGTAGTGCCAACCTCATTAGGCTATTATGAGGATTATCTGAGATAATGATACAAAGTGACTTAAACAGTGCTGGCATCATGAACACCTGACAAATTTTAGATGGGATATTTTTAAGCAAGCAGGCTACTGAAATTTCAGGTGAGAAATTCTAACACAAGGGCCCGCCCAGGACTGTGGTGCTAAAAGGAGATACACAGACTAGTCCTGGAAGACAGAACAGCGTCTGAATCCTTAGCACAAGAGCGAGTCAGATACACAAAGTGGTGGGGAAAGGGCATTCCAAGCAAGAAAAGAGCCTCAGCATTTAGGTTTAACTGTAGCAGTGGAGCCAAATTCTCTTATACTTAGAGGAATTCATTTCCCTGTGGAACATTCCAGAGATCCCAGGTAGAACCCTAGCCCCTCAAGTCTGAAGGTGAAAATTCCATCTTGTGAGAGCACCATCACTCAGCTAAGGTTCGGACAGTCCCTAGGAAGAGTGCCCCTTTGCCCTGTGGTCAGACTCTGGTATCTCAGTGCTATGAAAGGTGCTAAGAGTAGGATTTGATTGGGGGAAAATAGGAGATGTCTGAGCAGGGATGGCGGGTCACGCCCAGCTGGGGACATACTCTGAGGACCATACCTGAAGAAATGGTTTCATTAAGCAGCATCAAGATCCTCACTTGGGACTTGTCTCCTTCCCGTTGTGTGTGGAACCCACCCTTCTGTCCCACAGACAGGGATTTCAGAGCAGGAGGAGTTTAAAGGAGCGCACCCACCTGTGTCTTGAAGAGATGCAGGACTGACTCAAAATGTGGTTCAGTGACCTCCAGTGTGTCTTGAGAAGGCAGGGGGTCTGTCCACACCAGGCCTGCCTTCCCCGGCAGCAGCCATCCAGGGGGCTAGGTCAGGGTCCAGGTGGCTTCAAATAAATGAACGTTCATTCTTCATTGTGCTGCACCCCAGCAGCCTGCTTCACTCACCCACGTGGCCTGCCCCTGAATTGGACATATTCCCCCCAAAGACTGTGCAGGACTCTTATCTCTCAAGTCCTCATAAACCCCTGGAAAGTTGCAGATTCCTTAGAAATCAGCTGATCCAGGAAACTCAGATCTCAGGAGTGTAGTAAGCCTGGCCTGGGCCGTAAAGAGTCTCACTCAGTAGTTTGGAAGTGAGCTCTGGGCATCTGTTACTTTTAACAATCTCCCCAAGTGAATCTGATTCTCATAAAATGTGAGGCTCTAATCCACCTTTCTCAGAGCCAACATTCAGCCCTGATGTCCAGCAGGAGTGTGGCCACATTGGTTGGTGGAATGTTGAAAGAGGTTTGTACTGATAGGTGAATACTGGGTGCTCTGAGCTCCCCAAGGCTTCCTCATACCCACACCCTGGTCCTTCCCCCAGGTCCTCCCGATCACTCTCCCATCCAGCACCTAAAGGCTCAGGCCAGGTGCAGCTAAGACCTCTGGCCATAAAGACTTTCTCCATTCCACCTGACCAGTGCCTATGCCATCCTGCTTGCTAAATATCTTAACTATGACCCTAGAGTACAGCATAGGACCCAGAGAGGTTATGCAGAAGCCAAGAGCACTTCTAACAAGCCCAGCACTCCTCTCAGCCCACTCCTGACCACTGTCCAGCCCTTGACAATCACCTTCACCTGGCCCTGGGCCCAGGAAAGGAGCTGACTGGGAGGGAGGGCAGCTCCATGCTCACTGGTCTTTCTCAGCTAACACCTTCAAAGGTTTTAGCAATGCCTATGAACTTCCCAGCTCCTCT